AACAGCTTAGTTGCATAAGATTGCCATCAAGTTTTGCTAAGAAATGTCATGAAATCTTGTTCTTCTGCTGCAGTACACAATTGTTTCTTTCTTATAAATGTGGTACACAATCCAGCGTTGGCTTTGAAATCTATGATGCCTAACATTTTTGCTTATTTCAGCGAAAAGTTTCAGAAAAATCCAGCTGAGGGTATTTTGGTGAATTTCATTGATGTATTTTGCAACTTCATTTTTCAACCGTGATTTATATGCCAGCCTTTCCTCTATAGGCTTATTTATTTGTAGGTACCTATCTAAGTGGTGTAGAGAGCTTCCTCCATTTTTCTAACATTCCTCTCCAATATTTTGAATTCTCCAGCTGATGAGTAATTACTTGTCTCTTTGTCAATTTCAGTGCCTTTAAGTTTGCAGTGGGCTGTGTCTCTGCTGTTTCTCCTTGACACCATATTGTACTGTAATATTCAAAGGCAGAATTGCCAAGAATGTAGCAAGTATCAGTGAGGTGGCAGCCGTGACAGGATGTGTTGACGTGCCCAGATGAGAGGAGCTCAAAGCTGCCTTTCATTCTGTGGTATTCTATGATTCTACAAATGAAAAGTTTTACATCAGAGTGAGTTTGACTTCATCGAGTGTATACAAAGTAGAAAGAGTTGGATATTTTTGCCCAATTTTGGGTGTCAGCTTTACCCAAGATTTAACTTGAGTACATACTGTAATTAAAATTACCATGAGGAAAGACATTGCTTTTGGCATAAAGCCAGAGGCTCATGGAACACAAAAGTCAAAAATTAGGTAAACTGTCATTTTCTATACTACTATATTTCTATATTATATTATTTGCTCTCTGACATACCTTTATGGCTGAAGAAAGAAACACTGACTGCGAACTACCAAAATAAGGCCCTCAATTTTACCAAAAAGTGACTGTATCTGTTTCTGGGAGTTGTATGAAGGATTTCTCTCCGCGAGCCCTAGTGAGTTTTCTCATGTGATTTTTACACTGCTCACTTCATTATGTATGCACCATGCCTCCATGGCACCACTCTCTCGCTATCAAGGCATTCAACACTGCCATGATGTTCTAGGATTTCCAGTGCCAAACCAATATTCAAAGGCCAAAGATCACTGCATCCAATTCATACCTACTGGAAGCATGTATCAGTTAAATTCTGTCTAGCTTGTAGCATCCAATGGTGCTCCGTCATGCTGAAGGTGATGTTCCTCCTTTCTAATGACCTCAGTTTCCTCCTCGGACACTGCTGTTCCTCTCCCAGCTTATCAGTATCCATCACATTCCATCTTTGCCTGCTTCGGTTGTGCAAGACTACTCCCTTTTAGACTTTGAGACGTAGCCATTTTGGCTGAAGCACAGTCAATATGTTACCCTCTAAGCTGCTGGCACATGCTATGCGTGTGACATCAGATTAGCACAGCACATATGGCAACATGTCTACCCTTTGACAGATCACTGCTGACATCCATGGCGAGCTGCCTGGCTTGATGTCTGTGCTAAACAGCAAGGCAAGAGAGAAGTACTGTGAGCCTTTTGATTCCAGCTGAGATGGCAAAATGCTAAAACCCAAGGCAAGGCAAGGTTGTAAGAATCCAAGTGGGTGCAAAGTGAGTGAATACTAAGAAGGCAAGTGAAAAGACCCCAGGCAGATCCTTCTCTGATGCACTAGCTAGGTGCCTGCACACAAAATGGCCTGGCAACAGCATTACAATGAAAGGTGTTGGTGCTTTCCAAACTGCAGCATTGAAGTGGTGAACTGTATTTCAAGTGGGTTGGAGGTACCATAATGATGATGCAGTGAGATGTCCAATGCCAAACGCTGTGGACAGGGTACACAGGTGGTTGCTGCCCATGAAGCATGCCCTGAGGACTTGGGGACTGGTGGCCCAAGATGTAGGCCTGCAGGAGCAAGCAGCAAGTTGGAGCCACTGGGTACCCTGTTGGACCTTAATGTCTGTAATTGTTCCCTCTCTGCCCCTTGGGAGAACAGGATATGCCACATAAATGAGGTGAGAATAGGTTTTAATGAGATATAAATACATGCAAAAAGGCATCTCACCACACACTAGCAAGATTCTTGTCTTGCTGTTCAAAATTGGACTTCATCTTCTCAACGTCAAGAATTTCACTTTTATAATCTCGCTGTATTTTCCAAACAGACTCGCAATCGCCCAAATCATTCAGGGGCTAGGAAAATTCAGCCCACATTTATGCTCAAGTTTTTTTTTCTTGAAATTGTTTAAACAAATGCCATTTGGATGTTTTCTGAAAATTTATCTGGTATCAGTATTTGGCTCATTTAAATCGAACTGGTGCATCCTGGAAAGAATAAACACCATGCATGCTCAAATTACAGGACCTTCCTTTAGTGAACATCATTGTATCTCTAAATATTTAAATAAAGGCCAATCTTTTAGAAAGACTGAGAGTTTCAAATCTTTATTAAATCATTAAAAGACACAAATTCAATGGATAACTTTAATCACGTTACTGTGAAATAAGTTTCTTATTCTATTTTGCATAGGGCATGAGAAATTTTAGTTACTATGAAGTAAATAACAAATAAAAACATTTCAGGAAGTATGTTGAGTATTTATTGGAGAGAATTGTCTTCTGATGGCCATAAACTGTAATTATGAGATGTCAGCATACAGTAGACTTAAGAGATCTCCACTTCAAATGTGGACATCGAATGTTGTATTGAAAAATGATGATACAAAACATGACTTAAAAAATAGTACCAGCAAAAGATGATAGTCAGGAAACGCATGCAAGTAACACTGCACATCGTAAGACAACTATAATAATTTAAAGTAAATTAACTTGTTGCTTTATTAAGCAATCGACCATTAAAATCAGGAGAGTTAGGTAGTGCCAATTAATCAGTCTCATGCCAGTCCTATATGGGTACCAGCTCATTAGTGAGATGATAATATATGTCAGGAAGAATCTGAAACAGACCTTGCTATGAACAGGTGAATTGAGCTGGAAGGTTTAGTGAATTGATTTTTACATAAAACGTAACTGTTTATGTAATTTTCAGCGAGAGGTTGAGGAGGTCGATTTATTTCAATTCCTCGCACATGGATTGTAATGAAAGACTCAGCCAGCAAACAAATAAAACCTGTAGGATTTGATGATCTAATGTATATTTCTCATAGCTCTTTATTTAATTTTTAGATAGATCAGGCAATCACTCTGAATTAATGATTTATTCTTTATGTAATGAAATGATTAATTGAATATGGGCAGTTTAATTTATTAAATTATGTACGCCTAGAACATAGCTAATACATTTTCAAACAGCAGGTCTGGATCCCTCACAATCCTTTCTATTTCCACACATTTTCTGCCCCAATTTTGATTCAATTAAGTCCATTTGATCTAAAGAAGAGAGAAGTGGACCAAGACCAGAAACACAGCTATTCATGTGAATTTAAAATGTTTCTTTTATTCCAAAAGCTTCGCATTTATCAGATAATCAGACAGTCTGTAGGAAAGAATTTCAAATTTAGGGAAACGTTGTCATTTCAGAAGTACCTTGTATTTTTATTGTACCATTTGCAAGACGCACTGCAGCAACACACCAAGACTTCTTTGACAGCACTTTCCAAACAAACTCACAACTTTGGTTACCTGGAAGAACACATCACCTGTATATTCCTCTACAAGTCATACACCATCCTGTCTTAGTCAAAGGTCACCACTCTTTTAAGCTCAGTGCAGGAAGTCCAGGAACTCCCTCGCTAACAGCTCTGAGGATGTTTCCATGCCACATGGACTGCAGTGGCTCGCTACCACTTACGGCAAATAAATATAAGCAATCACTGCTGGGGTGTGGGTGCAGGCATTGGTAGAAACAAATGGATAAACAAATGAAAAGAAAGTTTCTAAATTGGTTAGTGCTGAGGTATTGCGAAGAAAAATGTGAATGACACATTCAGACTGTGAATAAATTGTTTAGCACTAATAATTCAGTCAGAGCTAACTAGAATGAATGGAACAGATTAGACCAAGCGTCCAACTTTTTCATCTGAGGTTGAGAGAGTTCATTTCAACTTTTCTTTCACATGGTTGGGGGGAGTGGTCCACTGAGAAGACTATGGAAAAAAAACCAAGCAGACTGATTTATCACCATAATCTTTCTGTACTATTGTTAAACAAGGCCTTGTGTGGTTGAACAAGGCCATGCGCAGTTGGACAAGGCCTTGCATGAGTAACGTACACATCTTTAGCATGCTGCATCGTGGCCCTCTAGTCACTTGTTGGACTAGCCTGAGCCAGAGGTACACATGCTGGAAGCTCAAATCTTTCACTTTACAATGAATGCAGCCACATTTTTTTTTTAGGTTTATGCCTACAGTTGCAAACTCTTGAATTAGATGCCAGGAACACACCCATGATGCGGAGCAACATGACACAATTTTAGGCTCCAGCATGGACCAGAGGCTAGGCAGCAACCAAGGATGAGGAAAAAAAATTGTGGTAAAAATGTATAATGCATCATTAAATTAAAAAAAAACACTTACCTTACAATGCACATTTCCAACAAGGGTCAGTGGAGGAGTTAATCCCAGGAGGTCTGTGAAGACATCTATGGCTTTCTGTCTCTTGCTGTGTTTCTCACACCCTCTGAGTGCAGTGCCCAATCATTTAGTTTTCTCTTTTTCTCTATAGTTGCTATCAACAGATTTATTATTAACTTTGTTGGCCAGGTGCAAAAGCAAGATTTTCTATAGTGAAGAAGTGCTTTCCAATGACTGGTTAGCACAGTCAGATAATTTAGAAGCTAAGAACCTACAGTACTGATTGGCAGTGTAGAGGGGAATTCCACAAAGAAATTGTTAAAAAAACACTTAGGCAAAACAATTAAAATTCATCTCATGATTTGAAGCCAGTCAGAATCAGACCTTCTAGAAATGATGACATGGAAATGTAACTAAAGTCATGGGCACTTCCAGAACTAATTCACATTTGTATGTTCTAGGACGATTCTCCTTGCTACAAAGTGGTGTGCTAAGCCTGAATGGATCCGCCTGGATACCGCTCCATTTTCTTCACTAAGCAGGGATACAGGGGCACTCCTAGGGCTTGGTCTCGGGCTCTCCTCACCTGTGTATTCCAGATTACAGGCATGGAAGATGACATGGAAACTGAAAATGATCTGCATAGTGCTCTCTGTGCTCATCATTGAGATAGTGGATCATGTACCGCTGTCAAAACACTCTAGCATTCTGTTTTATGTTCTGTTTTACTTGAAGAATGCACTTGTTCCTGTCCTAGTCATTGTTATCATCCCCTGGATAGTGCATTCCATTTTTGTTATTCAGCACTCTCAGAAACAACAGTAGTATTGACAACAGGACTTGTACTTTAAAATGGTTTAACCTCTGCTGCTTATGCTACTTATTTAGAAGCATACACACACATGCACGCACCGAGTTTAAGTGGCTGCCTGGATCAAGAACAGCTCTGTCTTGAAAAAAAATAGTAATTGTATTGATGTTTTCTGTTGAGGGCCATTTACAAAGATAGTAGCATCAATACACCCAGTACCAGTAGATGTCCTTTACAATGTGTCAGAATTACATTCTATGCTCCAAGGTGGGGACAAACCTACTCTGTAAACTCAGTCCCATAGGAACACTGCAATTGATAAACTGTCTAGTTCACACCCCCCCCCCCCTCCAAATCTACGCTGATAATGGATTGAGACATGATTAAGCTACCATGTTGATGGATATTACTTTTAGTTGTGGGCACTTTTTTTTTGTTTAAGTTTCCAATGAATGTCATTTGTTTTTGAATCAGGTGTTTGTTACAGTTGTGCAGATGTAGGCTGAATGGTCATGCTTACTTACTTTGCTAAGTGGCAGGTTTGGGTCCAAAGTCCAACATGGAATTCCTGAGCTCAACTAGTTAATAGAAGAGGCAACTGACTGGGCACTTAATCATGAAGCTACTTCTGGGATGTCATTGCCAATGTAGATTATAACTTAAGCCTCATCACTGGGTAAAGGTATTATTGATTCTCTTCCCTACCCCCTATAAACATAAACCTAGCCCCCAACAGGAAAGCTTCTTGTTTCAAAACAAGGAACACAAACAGAAGTTGCTGGAAAAGTCAGCAGGTCTGGCTGCATCTGTGAAGAAAAAAATCAGAGTTAACGTTTTGGGTCCAGTGACCCTTCCTCAGAAACAAGAACAAAGCTGCTTGTTTCCTTCTCTGTTCTTTTAAAATCACTTGTTACGGACCAGACCAAACTCCCTCAAAGTATATTAAGAAAATAGCTTAGACCCTAAATTTTCCATATTTTTAAGGCAAGTGCCAGGCGTTGCATTCTGCATGCAGTTTGATTGGTCAAACCATCAGATTGGAAGCAAAACACATTTTATTCACACATTATAGTTAAACTGCAACAAAAGAAAGAAGAAATTGGAACAACCTAACTCTATTGGAAAACGTAACAGCATAATAGATTATTTACCTACTAAACAGTAACAGTTCCAATATAGTAACATCCCATAAACACACACTTGGCAAAGGCAAATTCAATAAAATAGATTGTCTCACATGCATTTGTCCAGTCCAGGAGGAAAACTCTTGAGAGATTGAGGAGTATCAGAGATGTACTGCAGCTCAAAATTGAGTTTCAAGATCCCAGCAGCTACTGCTGCTGAGAAACTAAAACTAGAAATCCTGGTTCTGTGGGAGCTTGACCCCACCCATTCAGGCTGCTTCTATTGTTCCAACTTTTTAAAAAGACCCCAAGGCATCACAAGCTGTTTACTTCATTAGATTCAAATATACAGCTCGTCTCCTCTCTCTTTCTCAAAAAGAAGGACCGAATACAGCTCTTGAAGCCATGGTACTGTCTCACACTTCAAAACTGACCTTTCTTACTACATTCTCATTGAGGCTCCAAGACTGCTCAGTCTACCTTTACTGGGTTAAAGCACCTTGAGATGTTTTATTACATTAAAGGTACAGTTAAATCCAAGTTGTTGTTTCCATTTCTGACTTAATCTGTTTAGCAAATATAATTGGAATTGGGAATGAAAAGTATTAATAGTTAATAAAATCAGACATAAACTTTTTTTACAACCCCTTTGTCACTTTACACCAGTCTTGCAGATCATGTTGATGCTTTAATTTTTCTTAGACATGAAGTTAATTCCACAAAATAAGATATTTTGGGTTATGGAGCCAGGCAGATGGATCAGTTGTGATCTAATTGAACGATGGATCAGGTTGGACAGAATGGCCTTCTCCAATTTCTATTATGTTTTGTGCTGGTACTGTAATAAAACCAAAAGTGTGCTCTTGGACTTCCGATAGCTGCATGCTGAGTGATAGATACGGGAATAAAACACAAGTTTTTGGACATGGTCTTACGTCATCAGTAATATGCTTTATTTATTTCAGCCACTGTCCCTGGAATCCTTAGTGTCATCTCACTGTTGTTCTTTTCCATAAAGACTGTGATTTACTCGAAATATATTTGTGAAAAAAAACTATTGTTCGAGTCCTAACCTTAGCCTCTGTCTGAAGGATTTTTTTGAAATAAAAAGGAATAAAATATTTGTTCAGATTCTAAGATGGTACAAACCCTTCACTGCAACCTGTGGAATTCATCCTTGCTCCAAGGCATTTTACAAAAAAAGAATGGAGTAAAGTTAAAAGAAAATATAGAGAAGAGTATAGCACAGGAGCAGGCCCTTCGGCCCATCATGACTGTGTCGACACATGATGCCTTTCTAAATTAAAATCCTTTTGTCTCTATGCGATCCGTATCTGTATATTCCCTGCCTATTTATGTATCTGTCACGATGCCTCTTAAACACTGCTATTGTATCCGCCTCCTGAAGCTGAAATTTCGATCACCTGGCTGGGCTTATTCCTCAATACCAGATCTAGTATGGCCCATTCTTCTCTTGAACTATTTACATATCGTTTCAAAAATCCATCCTGGATATGTAACAAACTCCACCCCCCACCCCAACCCCAATCCAAGCCCCTGGCATTAGGGGAGTCCTGGTTGATATAGGTGATGTTAAAATTGCCCACCACAACAGCTCTGTTATTTTTATATTTTTCCCTAATCTGTCCAAATATCTGCTGTATCACCCATTGGCTGTCGGGGGGGCCTGTAGTACAATCTCATCAAAGTGACTGCACGCTTCCTATTCCTGAGCTGTCTCCATATGGCTTCACTAGCTGAGCTCTACAAGGTTTGCTCCCTCAGTACAGCTGTGATATTCTCCCTTATCAGTAATGCAATTCCTTCGCCTCTTTTACATTCCTCTCTACCTCGCCTGAGACATCTAAATCTCAGAAAGTCAAGCTGCCAGTCTTGTCCCTCTCTCAATGGAGTTTCTGTAATAGCTACAACATCATAGCTATATGTATTAATGCTCTAAATGAATTTGCCTTATCTGTCACACTCCTTGCATTCAAACAATACACATCAGACTGCCAGTCCCACCGCGTTCAGTAACCTCTCCTGTCTTCTTCCTCTTAGTCTTACAGGCCATAATCTCAGCCTCCTCCTTGGTCATTTTACTTGCTGACCCTAATGCTCTGGTTTCCGCACTTTTAAACCTTCCCGAGTGGCACTAAACTTATTGAGTTGGTAATATGGAACAGCTTTACAAAGCATCATTCAAAGTGGCACAATCCGAAGTAAAATGCCAACAACAGATCAGCTGTGAATTCAGATATAAACTAGAGCTGAAGAAGTTCACAGCAGGCATGATAGTGTTTCATGAGCAGAGGATGTCATGAACATCTCCTGTATCTCGCTTTAATTCTCACAACTTATTTATACATTATTATTTTAATCTGCAGAGCATAATTACATCCACTGTACACTGAATAAGTGAATCTTGCTATCATTTACAAAAATGTAAACTGGTGGCATTCTAGGTCCTATAGTGTGATCCATTGCTCTGAATATTTTACACTGATGTGTTGCAAAAATAGATCGACATTGCTGTAAATTATATGTAGTTTGGAATTCTGATAAATCATTTTAAAAATGCCAGATAGCTATTTTTAAGCATTTTAATATTGTCATAAAGTTTGCTGTAACAACAAAGAGTTAACTCTTTGACTTGATCACTTGACTGATCACTGCTGACAACCAGGATAAGCTGCTTTGCTTTGTGCCTGTGCTAACCAGCATGGCATGGCTGAGATTCTGTGAGGATCCAAGGAAGCGCAATGTAGTGAGTGCTAAGAAAGCAAGAGAGGAACCTTGAGATGCAACCTTGGTTGAATCAAGGGATGGAGGCCTGACCCTGTGTGCAAAGAATCCTGGCAGCAGTTTATAGTGAAAGGGATGGTGTGCTCTAAAGTGCAGCATTGAAGTGGAGAACTGTACTGTAAGTGGGTCAGAGATGTGCCATAATGACTCTGAAGCTGGTACATGTCCCACGCCAATGCCCATGGATGGAGGTTTGTGGGTGGTTGATGCCTGTGAAGTGTGCTGAGATGTTGGTGACTGTTATCCAAGATGGAGACCCAGAGGAGCAAGCAGTGAACCAGTAATCAGGTAAGTGCTCTGACTTTTATGTCAGGGATTGCCACGACCCTGTTTCTATCCAACTGGTGGAAGAATGGGAAGCTGCACATCACTGAGATATGATTAGGTAATAATAGAGTGCTTATAAGCCTTTCTTCATTCATTCAGTGGGCTTCTAGATCGTGCTGTTCAACACGTGGTTGGAGAAATCAGACTTTTTCCCTCTCAATGCCAAGATTCTCATTTCTGCTGATCACATGCTATTTTCCCAACTGACTTGACAACACCTACATTATTCAGAACTGACAAGGTTCTTCCCAATTATATTAACTTGTATTTATTGGTTACGCATCATTCTTCAAATTTACTAATTTTTTTTTAAATTGCTACAATTTTTAAGTTATTAACTAGATACACCCCCTGCCAATTTGAAATCTTCTGCAAATACTTAAATTATAATTCTCATTCAGCATACATATCACATGGATTTATGAAGGGGAAATCATGCTTGACAGATCTATTGGAGTTCAATCAAGATGTAACTAGTAGAGTTGACAAGGGAGAGCCAGTCGATGTGGTATATTTGGACTTTCAGAAAGCATTTGTTGAAGTCCTGCATAAGAGATTATTGTGCACGATGAAAACGCTTGGGGAAGTGTATTGAGATGGATAGGAAATTGGTTGGTAGAGAGTAAACAAAAAGTAGGAATTAACGGGTCCTTCAAATTGGCAGTCAGTAACTAGTGGAGTGCCACAGGTATCAGTGCTGGGACCCGAGCTATTTACAATATATGTTAATGATTTGGATGAGGGAACAGAATGTAACATCTCAAAGCTTGTAGATGATACCAAATTGGGTGGGAGGGTGAACTGTGACATGGATGCAGAGATCCTTCAAAATGATCTGGACAGGTTGGGTGAGTGGACAAATCGATGGCAGATGCAGTGTAATTTGGATAAATGTGAGGTTATTCACTCCAGAAGCAAAAACAAGAAGTCAGATTACTACCTGAATGGCTGTAAACTGGGAGAGGGGAGTGTGCAGCAGGACCTGGGTGCCCCGAAGGTAAGCATGCAGGTGCAGCAGGCGGTAAAGAAGGCAAATGGTATGTTGGTCTTCATTGTGACAGGTTTCGAGTACAGGAGCAAGGATGTTTTGTTGCTGTTATAGAGGGCCTTGGTGAGACCACACCTGGAATATTGAGTGCAGTTTTGGTCTCCTTTTCTGAGGAAGGATGCTTTTGCTCTCGAGGGAGTGCAGCAAAGGTTTTCCAGGCTGATTCAAGGGATGGCAGGACTGACATATGAGGAGAGATTGACTAGGTCAGGATTATTTTCACTGGAGTTTAGACAAATGAGGGGGGGGATCTTGTAGAGACTTATAAAATTCTAACACGAGTAGACAGGGTAGATGCAGGGAGGATGTTCCCGATGGTGGGTGTGTCAGAACCAGGGGTCACTGTTTGAGGATTCGAGGTAGGCCATTTAGGACAGAGATGAGGAGACATTTCTTCACGCAAAAGAGTGGTGAGCCTGTGGAATTCATTACCACAGGAAGTAGTTGATGCCACAACATTGAATATATTCAAGAGGCGGCTAGATATAGCACTTGGGGCAAATGGGATCAAAGGTTATGGGGAGAAAGCAGGGTTACGCTATTGAGTTGGACGTTCAGCCAAGATTGTGAAGAATGGGGGAGCAGGCTTGAAGGGCCGAATATCCTCCTCCTTCTCCTATCTTCTATGTTTCTATTCTATTTGTGAACATCAGTGGGTCCCAACACTGATCCCAAGGGAAAAAAAAACTTCTTGCCATATGTTGTCAGGCTGAGGAGCTAAATTTAATTCTACTCTGTTTCTGGTTTTATCATCATCTTGCAGTATGATTTGAATCCACAACCAGGGCTTAAGGAGACAACCATTGTGAATAGCTTAGGTCTGTCCTTCACAGAAACAATAAAATTTACATTTATATTATGTCTTTCATGATGTCCAGAAGTCTGAAAATGCATTACTGGCAATTAAATGTTTTTTTAGAATGCAGTCATTATTGTAATACAGAAAATGCAGCAGCTAATTTTTATACAGCAAGGTTCTGCTTTCAATGATGTGATATTATTAGTTTTAGTTTGGGGAATAATTAATAGCAAAATAATGAATGAACAATTAATTTAAAGGATAATCTCAACTAAACCAATAAAAGGTTAATAAAATAATAATAAATAACCAAGAAGTTCTTCTGAGTACTCCTGAGATAAACATTTTTTAAGAAATCAAGGGTTATGGGGAAAAGACAGGAAAGTGGAGTTGAGGATTATGATCTCATTGATGGCTGAGTAGCCTTGATGGGCCGAATTGCCTATATCTGCTCCTACATTTTATGGTCTTACAGGAGGGAAAGTTAACCATACCGTTCTATGGAAACAACCTTGCCATGCAAAACTTTTGGGATATAAAGATAAGCAAACGTCTCTTGCTTCGACCCACTAAACTCAAGTCTTGATTTTTATATTGATTTTGGAAAAAAAAAGTCAGTCTTCATTTGAATGAATTACATCCTGATACCAGCCTTCATGGTGTTTTTCCTCATCCAACCAAACAAAAACAAACTCACTGACCTTTTGCTGCGTATGCCATCCCGCTGTGCACAAATGTTGCGTTTACAACAGAAGTCGCTGCCACTATTCCAATCAGCTTCATTGTATATGGCTGTTAGATAAGTGAGATGAAAGCTGTAGAATTGGAAACGTTCACCTTTCAGATCACGAACTGGTTCCCAGATGCATCTTATCCTGGAATGGGCGCCAGGCGGCGCAGTTATCTACATGGACAAGATTAATAGTTCGCATCCAAACCGTACAAGGTTACATTTTGTCTAACCAAAGGCTACATCGAGTGCATTCCTCTAGAATGCCTTTTGTTCTTAAGAAAAGCATTTGCTACAATTTCACAGAACGTCTCTAATAAAAGCAACATTGGGTGGGACTGGTGGGGAATAAATTGAAGTTGGACTTTTGCAAGATGTCCCAGGCCCTACCTCCTGCACTATCTTCCCAACATGGTCAGATCCCCCGATGCTAAGATGTAAAAGGGGAGCGCATAGAAATCGTAGAACGGCTAAAAATCGAACCTCAAAGAGAATTACAGTTCTGAAGTTAAACTTACCTTAATAATTGGAGCAGGGGAAAAACACAAGCAGTGAAAATTACCCGGAGGAGCGTTGGTTTGAATATTTCATTTCGGTTCCTTGAGACTTTAACAAGTAACAAGAAAAAAAATGTTTGCAACAGGGCGCCAGCGATAATGCAGGAGGTTAGCGGGAGTGTCTATTGATCAAACACAGGATTAATTCGGGAATAATGTGTATTAGCATCACGAACATAACTCAAACGGAGATTTAGTCATTAGCATTTCGTTACTGGGGGATTGTTTTTCAACACGGAGTGTCCAGATTGTACCAATTTATAAATTAACATTTTCACCGCAACCGACCAGTTAAAGCGGCTGAAACATCAAGGTAACTAACTGTAAAATCTGTGAACTCGACAGACAAAAGTTACCGTTCCTTTTTTTTTGTTACCAAATCGCCATTTCCTCCCGAATGTAACCAGCACCTAGCACAGTCAATTTGCAAATCTCGTTACACGAACTGCTTTGTATCCGTTTGAATTCCACTAGATATCCTTTAAGATCAACTTTGTGCTTTGGAAAAAAAATGGGAGCAGATCCGCGGGCTGATTTTATACAGATGTTAGTGGGTGTTTTCTGCACCGGTTGCCAACAGAATACTCCCACTCATTAGAGAGAATGTGGCCCAATCAGTTCTGAGCTTCCCCAGGATGTGGGCCCTCTCTCGGATCTTGAAAGCTAAAACCCCCACGAAAGCAGTAAAAGGCAGCGAGAAGAATTAGGACCACTGGGACTAAAGTGGCTAAGACACATCTGTAAGTTTGTTTATTTTTTTTTACAAACTCGTAGTTTCTGTTTACAGAGAGCCTTTTTTCTCTCTCCCTTCTCCTTCTCGTCGTTGACGCCAACCTTTTTCAGAGTTTGGTGAGACGCAACATGCAGGAGGACTCCAACTCTCCGTTTTCTCCCGTGGACAGCGCAAGTAACAGCGAAGGAGAGCAGGACTCACAGCACAAACGGATCGGCAGGAAGAGGCGCTCAGGCCAAAGGGCTCACAGGCCCAGCACCGGGAAGAAAGGGATGAAGATTTCTCCCCTCGCCCAGAGCCTGGAAGATATTCAAACCCAGAGGGTGGTGGCGAATGTGAGGGAGCGCCAGAGGACGCAGTCTCTGAACGACGCCTTTGCGACCTTGCGGAAAATCATCCCGACTCTGCCTTCGGACAAACTCAGCAAAATCCAGATCCTTAAACTGGCCACCAGGTACATCGACTTCCTGTACCAGGTGCTGCAGAACGACGAGCTGGACAGTAAGGTGACCAGCTGCAATTACCTTTCACATGAGAGGCTCAGCTACGCTTTCTCCGTCTGGCGGATGGAGGAGTCGTGGCCCCTGTCTGCTGGACCTTAGCATTTGCTGCTGAGCAGGTAATTGTCAGAGGCTTTTGGCCACCGAGATCCCTTGAAAAGGGTGGGATGTATAAACCAGATAGGCAACTGTACAAATGGCCTGACAGCGACATGTAACTCTTCTGCAATGTGGAAGATAAACACCTAACAATAACCCGCCTCTTTCATCTCAGCTGCCATTCGAGGCTCAATCGCTTTCTTTGCTCTCTCTCTCTGTCTTACCCAATGTGTTAATATTCTTCTCCTCCCAGAAATTCCACCCCCCCCCCCCCATTAGCGCGTAATATTTTTCTCTTGTATATTTTATTTTGCTCCCCCCCCCATTCTCTGAACAAGGCGTTGAACTATTGGATCAGTCAACACGCTGAAGTTATGAAAATCAACAGTGACCACAATCCCCACTTGTAACCCTCTTCCCTCTGCCCCGAAGTATTTATTTAGTGGCTGTGGCTTCGTGTAGCGTGGAAGAAAGTTTAAGCAAACAGAGGAGGGATGCACCCATTTCTTTCTGGTACTCCAAATGCTGAGCAAATGTGAATGTTTACAGGCACTGTGCTTCCAAATCTCTCTTGCATACACCCCAAGAACACTGCTAAACATCTCACTCACTCACAAAACCTTCTAGTTCAAGTCATTGCATTAAAAAAAAATCCCGGAGTTAATTGCCTTTTTCGCTCTTTGGTCGAGATTCACGCTATTTTTTTTTGGCTTTTATTCGCTTGGAGTTTGTAAAAAAAAAAATAATTTCTTGTTCGTGTTTTTATGACTGCTCTGGGACTCTTCAAAGGTGCCCAGTCAGGGGCTGGGAAGTTATAATTTACTTTAAGCTTCCCCCCCCAAATTTCCAAATGATCCAAACCATTCTCCCATTTGACTTACAGGCACAATATTATGCTAGTGGGATCTCTACACAGTGCACCAAGAGCATTTTAAAGTTGGCCTCGTGTTAGCAAAAGTCAAGAGCACTTAAATACCAGGCTGGGGCGATGGACATGAAGATACTTTGAAGTAAACTGGGACATCAGACGACAACAGTCTGTGGATCCATTGTTCTCTATTTATTTGCATGTCTCCTGCCTGCAAAGCTTCAATTCCACCGTGTATATCGTGTGGCGGGACTGAGAAATGATTTTTTTTGTTATTAAAAAATGACGAAAACCGCGGACGAAGGAATATAAGCACAGAGCTTTGTTGTGAAATATTATTTTTTATATTTGAATTGGAACATTATTTCCGGAGAATGAGCTCTGAATGTTGTGAACCGACTTATTATTTTAAAAAAAAAGTTCTATCGCATCCTGTGTTTTATAATAAATGCACATTGCGAGCAGCTCTTGTCAGGTTCTTTTGTGTGTTTTGCAGTAGAGTTTTGGCGAATTTATAGCTCCCGGGGGAGCGGTGAGGCATTTGACAGCGAAATAAATAATATTATCAAACAGAAGTCAGATGCCTAACAATAATCTTCAAGGAAATTCCATGCTCTCTATATTTGAGGCAACGGTCTCAGTATATAAACGAGAGAAATATGAAATAGTGAAAAAGTATGTTAGATCAATCTGCACATCCAATGTAATCTTAAAGCTTTGAAATGCATCAAAAAAGGTGCAATCCCGATTATCTCAAGGATTGTTACAATACTGTGTGCGCTTTCAACAGAAAGATTGATAGCAATATAAGTTTTCTTTTAACGAAGTAATTCATGTTTGGGATTCTGAAGCAGAAAATCCCCCTTAAAGGAGCCAAGCAGGATGTCGAGCGTTTAATTTTTAAATGTTGCTTTTCAGGATCACCTCCAAAAACCCAAAATGTATTATAAGAATGTCCAAGTACGCTTTACCGTCTCTCAGCAAATACAAAGCCATGCTTTGTCGAAATAAGTGAAAACTGAAATGCTGGAGATCACAGCGGGTCATTTCAGTTTTCAGCACAGATTCGAGCATCTGCAGTAATTTGTTCCTACCTCTGTTGGAATGATATGGTTTGAAAGTCCTTCTCGCGATTTATCAGAAACTCTGCATTTCTTGCAAGCACGTCGTGTTCCAAAACGCACTTTTATGATTAACCTGCATGAGTTAGCTTCTGTGGATTCGTGGGTCAAACACGCCAGGGTCTGTTATCCAGTGCAGGGGGGGAGTGGGGGGAGGAGAAGAAGAAGTGGGGTGAGGGGGGGGGTGGGGGGGGGGGGGGGGCGGGGGGGGGGGGGGGGGGGGGGGGTGGACTTTTACTGAATTTCACTAGAACGACTGGGAGAAGTGAGAACGAAGCAAGCCGCGGAAGGAAACCAGTGTGAACGAAATGCCAATTACAGTAGTCATTGAGATGGGTAGGGGAACAGTGCAGCAAACGGGGTGTATTCGGTTGACTGTCAAATTATTGTATCATTAAAAGATGCAAAAAAAACTGTAGAAAGGAAATGCAATTTCTTTAAAAGAAACAACTATTTTGTTTCATCGATTAGAATCGAGTTTTCAAAATGTAAGTCACCTTTTGCAGGTAACTCGCGGCTCCTAATCGCGATTATTTTCCTTCATACAACGGTTAGACATTTAATAACGTGGAATAATACTTTGGCAGTACAGGTACGGTATGTTGTTTTATTGTGGATTGAGAGATTCTCGCTTATTCTGGTCAATATTAGGGACCTTACTAATTAATCGGTGCTAGGATGACAACATTTGAATATTGTGACTGTACCACCATAAATGAGGGCTTTACCGCCTGAGCAATCCCTGCACCTAACGGCGAGATTTTGCTGCATTAGAATGAGGGCGGACGCTTTGGCGATGAGGTAGCTCTCAGGTTTATGTACCTTTCCTCCTGTGCAGATGGAATTTGTACTTTCACTCATAAAGTGTTGCACTTTGACAGCAGCAAGTCGCGTTTTCAGCTGTTTCTTGTAGAGATGGGGAAAACATTCCCAGCCGTCACCTGGATAAAATTAGCTTCTCTCTCCTTTATGGGGACTTACAACTTTCTTACAGAAAGCCTTGTTGTGACTAGTACAAAAGACACCGAAAACACTACACATACGCACACACTTGAAAATATCCAATGTCTCTCTCAGATTTTAAACGAGACAAAGTTCCTCTCATTCATAGATCTCAAAATACACGCACATCTCAAGAGCGTAGCACAACCTCCGCCCCAAACAGACTTTAAAATGCATTGAACATCAAACAGCAACTTCAAAATCCCTAGAAATCACACCCGCTTGAATCGGATGAGACGTAGTCCCAGATACTTGCACTGACTATCGGCATTTTGTTATTCTTTCTGATCAACGCCAAATTCGCCCGAGAGAGGGGAAAAAAATCAGCAAAGACCCATTATAAAGAGATTGGGATTGTTTGTACTTCAGGATTCAGATAATGGGAGGAAATTGTTCCGCGGACACAGGACAATTGTGTGCTATCGGAAACTTCACTTTTTACCCAACATGTGGCTGCCTTCGGGCAACTGGAGAGATGGTCTTTTTTTTTAGTCGCCTCGTGTTGTGCTTTTAAACAGAGCCCGATTCAAATATAACAGGAGTAAATCAGCACGTCTTAAAATTCCAAGGGCGGCTGTTTCCGCCTGAGGAACTAAGACAACATCGGTGATAATGTGCGCTCAGAGTTTATTAAAGCATTTTAAGTCAGTTCCCGTTGGCGTGTGAGAACCAGGACTCCCTGAGAGTGAGAAGGATAGAAAGACCGACACTGGATTTATTCAAACTTGGAAGTAACATCTACTCAAGGGAGGGAAACGGAGTTTAGGTGTAATTAGCCAAGAGCTTTGACTCCCTTAAAGTGTAAAGAAACCTTTGGAAATGAACAGAATGCAGAGGGACACATTTCTGCTGGCTTGGCGTGAGGCCGTCTGTCAATATGAGGCAAGTTTGAGCGGGGCTGTGTAGGAGAAGGGAATCTCCGTGACCCCGAGGGAGAATCCGATCAGAGGAAAATCCGAGGAAGCATTATCGAAAGGTCACGAGGAATCGACGGGATTGCGCAAAGGTCAGTTCTGGGTTGTGTTTGACAGGGAGAAAGAATCCGAGAAACGGGAGGGCGAGGTTAGTGTGGAGAATGAGCTGGGAGGCTGGGGCTGAGAGCTGGGTCTATTTCTCAGCATTAATTCCACGAGGAGATTAGATCCATGTTTCTGATAGTTTCCCGGGAATTAGCATCAACAGCATCCCCGGGCAGATGAAGATTTTAGCTCAATCATCTCTTTGCTGATCTTAAATTACACCCAATACCAACATCACTTTGAGGCAAAAGGCGCCCCAATAGACAGTAATTTATTTTATAGGACAATTTTTTATCCGGAATTAAAACCAATGTTTGCTTGCTCTGATTTAAGATAAACCTCTTCTCATCATCCTCTGTCAGAATGAACTCTCATAATGTCGGAGTAAATTCACCTTAGTCTGTAAGAAAACAAAATGACAACATTTCTGTTAATGTTTTTTTTCTGTTTTAAACTTTAATTCACCAATTCTCCAGTCAATGTTGATGTCAGTACTGTACACTAGCTACATCTAGTGGTTTATTTTGCTAACGCGCCTAATCGCATCTATGATATGGAACAAGCAAATATTGCGGATGCTGGCAAATCTGCTTTTATTGAGACAAGTTGAAATTAATTTGTCCTGAAAGGTCACACAGAGAATGTGCTTTCAACATTTGTGGTTAATCTACAAAGACTCCACAAAAAGTTAAAGAGCTACACACGGATAATTGGGAAATAAACTAAAAAAAAAGTAACTGTGATAAATTTCCATTTCCTCATCGCTCTTGTTAGCTTTGATTTAAATGTTTACCTCAACCATTGAGATATTGTTCGGGTCTTAACAAGCAAAATGTCCGAGAGAAACCTGGGCTGAAAGGGGCTGGACAATTTCCAGGCAATGACTGCCAAACTGTGTTATACTGGGGCCGGTTGACCAGAGCAGGTCACAGATATGCACAAAGCATCTTGATTAGACCAGGCCTCTTAAATACAACGACAACAATCAAAATGAAAATGTACGACCGCCATCTGCCTTCCCATGTTCACTGCAATTTCAGAATTTCAATTTCCTCCGTGTGTGGATCAAAGATACAGGAATGGTAATGTGTCCCCGGGTCATTCCGTCTCTAACCAAAACGACAATTTTGCACCCGGCAAATTTTACAGCTTGAAAACTTTCATCTTCAAAACACCCGGCCTTTTCACGACAAATAAACCCGAGGAATTCGGGTCTGAATGTGCTTTTAACATTCATGATTAAAAACAAAGCCCTCAAATCTTAGATAAAATAATAAGAGAATAATTTTCACAAGATTGAATGGCATTTTTTTAAAATCACGGGCTGAAGGCAATAAACCAAGAACAAAGCAAAACAACATCATTCTGGCTCCAAATGGCTGAAGTGGACAATGTGGACCACGAGATTGGATGGTGCAATAGTCCCGACTTTGAGACTTTCAGTGATCAGAATATGTTGAAGTGATTGATTCTCACGTGTCCTATTTGCTGCACTTGGATATCGCCTTCTTTTGAATTCAATCTATTTTATTATAGACTTTACACTCAATACTTTTAAACATTGAGTTTGTCAAAACTGCTACAAACAGAAAACTTAACGTTGACAATTCACAAAAATGTGGCCAAGGCTGAAACAGGAGTACCGCTCTTTCCCTGCCACATGCGCTCAGTTTGGCTGATTGGGTACATGTGTGCTCTTTGTCCTTCAGCTACTTAGCAGAGATCAAAGCCACCAGAAAGCTCTCTTTCAACTCAGTACAGAACAGCATGGATTGTTTAGGGGCTGTTTTTACGACCAAATCTATTATTTCACTGCAAAATCAACCCTGTTAAGATCACCCTTTGCAAAGAATATGATTAGGAAAATTGTAAACTACTAAGTTCAAAAAACAAATCCTCTGATTTAAATCTACGAGTGTATTTCTCTAATGTTTTAGATGCTTTCCCAGACTTTAATTCAGGTCAGTTCTTTCAGTATTTAAGAATACTTGTAATCTTGTTTAATTCTGATAAGATGGTAACCGTGAAATATCTTTCTTTTCCCTCTTTCCACTGCAGTGGTTTGGCTGTTGAGGGTTTGGCACTTTTTCAAATATGTATTTGATGAAATCATAGATCATGAAACTTCAGAGACTACAGTGAAGCTAACTCTCCAAAATCAAAATATGTTTGCATTTACTAAGATTCTAATTCTGTCATATACAAAATATTATGAAACGGGCCATTTCTACATTTTAAATATTTTTTTTTAGAAAAGCGTGCTTATTGAAACTCAAATTC